TCCATCCATCCATCCATCCATCCATCCATCCACCCTTTCTCCTGAAAGATCCAAGGTGGCTTACAGTATTTTTAAAAAAATAAAATTTATTTCTTCAAAATAATACCTTATTGCAATTTTTATACCAAGCATGTCCACTTTGATTACTATTTGCAAGGGAGGACTTGGGAGTTATTTTTGTCTCCCCCACCCCAAAAAAGCACACCTTTTCCAAGTTCTTGTGTGCTGGGGGAGGGGAGACCTGACATCTTAAATAGTGGCCCGAAATAGAGCTTTGATTCCCCCCTGCCACTGGACTTCGTCCTGTAACCATGCGCACTAGTGATGAGTCTGGGGGAAATGACCTTGCTGCAGAGTTCTGTTGGAGGATAGGTGGTTGGGGGTCACTCTGAACCAACATGTTCGTGTTGTATGGTGCAGAGTAGCCCCCACCCCCACATAGCACTAATTGAATTGCAGCATGATGCATGAGCTGGAAGACCATGCGCACTGCGTGGATACAGAGAATGGCTGCTGTACGGGGGGCAGGTCCCCGTATGTAAGGGGTGCCAGCCAGCATCTGCTTTGGATGGAGGATACGAGCACCTCTGAATTGCAGGAGTATCTTGTGTGACAGGTGTACCCGGTCCAGAAGCAAGCAGCGCGCTGTGGTGATGGCGTGGGATCGGCGCCTCCTTGTGGCTGGGAATACCGACCAGTGCATCCAGTATCCTTGAAAGTAATCCTTGAGGGTGAGATGAACTGGTGGAACAAGAGCCACGCGTGTGTCACAGTTTGGAACAGTTCCTCTCTGGACTACAGTGCCCAACATCCCCCAGCCAGCATGGCTACAGAATGCTGATCCAGACAGACCCATCCATCTGAGCCAGCGAGCTGCCTGCAATATTCTCCTGGGGGGGGGCTGCTGGTTTTGTAGCTCCACCCTGTGTTATTTTGGAGCTCCTTAATGCCAACTGCAGGTACTCTCTGGATGAGGACTCGTACCTGGTGCCAGAGCTTGACGGTGTGAGGATTTTCTCCCGGTCCACCCACGAATTCCTTCATGAGATCCCAGGTGAGTTTGGCTCCCAGGCCACTGAGGACTAGAAACTCGCTTCCTCTCATTTTAAAGCTGGAGGCTTTCAGGAAAACCACCCCAGGCCGGAGTCCCTAGTTCTTTTCCTTCTGTTGCAGAGGCCAGCCAGGAGATTTTCAGGATCGCCTCCATGGCCCCAGGGGCGTTGCTGCTGGAGGCACAGAAGGAGTATGAGGTAAGGCGGGCCTCGTGGCTAGAGGGGCCGGGAAGGAAGAACAGCAGGGGGGTGGGGGTCTTCCTCTCTCTGGCATTGGGCTTTGCAACTGTGGAGTGAAACGGAGGGGGGGGAAGGATAGCCAGGATGGGCTGCCGACGGCCCCCTCTTGCTTTTGAAGACAAGGTTTTTTTGCAAGTCAACCATTCCTAGGGTTGTGAGAAGAAACGACTCGATGCCACATAAAACAAGATGTTTGTCTTTGCTTGTGAACTGCCTGGGGTGGCGTCCCACGAAGGGATATGTGTGTTTCAACAGAAGAAGCACAGTTTCAAGGGGGGGTTAGCCATGAAGGGTGCAAGACCCCACTCCATTTTCTAACCCGCATCCTTAGCTACACCCACACTTTTCTTCCAAATCCTGTGGGAAGGGGGAGCCTTGGGGGTGGCGGCTGCGCCGCATAGAACGCCTTCAGGAGAAGCATGTGTCATGAATGGCCAGCTGATTGTGCGTTAAGGAGGGATGGGCGACTGATTGAGTTGCACAGGGAAAGTTCTGAAGCTCACTTTACACAGTCGTCATTCCAGCTCTGTTGGAAGAGAGCGCCTTAAGCTGCTTTGGCAGGATCAAGAATCTTCAGGGTGCTTCTGGTGATTTTGGGGGGCTTTTGCATTAGACTCTGTTTCATTTCCTCTTGCTTTCTCTCCAGAAAGAGAGCCAGAAAGCCGACGAATACCTGCGGGAGATCAAGGACCAGAAGCTGCTTCCGGAAGCGGTCCGGCAGTGCATCGAAGCAGCCAGCTACGAGCAGGAGCCGGAGATTCAGAAGTCCCTTCTCCGGGTAAGGAACAGAGGCTGGTCTCTGCCCCCTCCCCAACCCAGATGTAACAGAAAGGCCACAGTGGTGGAGAGAAGGGGGGGGGACCTTGTCCCGGGCTGGAGCGACCGAAACAAGGGCTCTCTGAGATAAAGTATGTCATCTGGAGCCATTCTTGCATCCACGTGCAAGGATTGTGTGGTTTGAGGACAGGAAATCACATCACACCTCAAGCAACCCTATTTAGCCTTACTCTCTTTAAAGGGATAACAATAATAAAGCCCCCCTCTGTGTCCCCTCCTGTCTCGCCCTTCATGGGGAAAGGAGGAAGGCTTCCATTTTTTAAAAAAAAATATCTATACCTGGCATGGCGCTGTGTTGGCCGGCTGATCCACCCATTCAGTGCTGGACTAGAAGAGAACTAAAATTAAAATCTCATTCTTTTCTCTTCCCGGCAGCCAATCAGGGTTGGGAAGCAGGAGCGACGTTTAAATTTATTGATGAGTGGTTTACGCAAAGTAGATCAACAAATTGCTTGGGAATCGATACCAGCGACCGCACATGCTCAAACTGAACTGAAACGGAGCTGTCTTGCCTGCACTCAAAAAACCCAACAACATAGGGACCGGGGTGGGAAAGGGGGCGAATAGGCAAGGGTTAGCATCAGGCTCGTTCGCGGTTGCCTGCGTGCCGTGCAGTCACTGGAAAAAGGAACAAAGCAGCTTTTTCTCAAAGCAAACCAAACGGTGGGACAAAGTCTTGTCTGATCCGACATTTACCCTCCTCCCGAGTCATCTTGCCTGCCCAGAGTCGGGACAAACCCACTGGGGGGCTGGGTTTTCTGCACCTATGGCGCTCCATGTGACCTAGCCTAGCCTCATTGAATGGCTGTCTCTGAAATTCGAAAGACACAGAGGGTGCGGTCTGTGCCTAGTCCTATCGAAAATAAAGAATTATTGTGAATATCCAGGAACCAGGTGCTGGGAAAGCCCGGTTTCTCTGCGCCAGTCGGTGACCTGGGTGCGTCTCCGTCCAGCCCTTGACGCCTGCAGGGAACTCAGAAATATCTGAAGAGTTGGCCTGGTCTTGTTTTCCAGCCGATCTTCCTTCCTTAAGGACGAGATGTATATGGTCGTTAACTCGATCGGTTTGCCTCTTCTCTTCTCTCCCCTGCTGTAGGCTGCCTCTTTTGGAAAATGCTTCATTGACAAGTTCCCACCAGAGAGCTTCGTGCAGGCCTGCCGGGACCTGCGGGTGCTCAACGCCGTTCGGGATTACCAGATTGGGATCCCGCTCAGCTTTGACCAGTATCCTTTTTGTGTGCACACTTAAGACACAGCTGTAGTGCAAAAAATAAATAAATAAATTGGCAGGTGAATCCGCCTTGCCCCCACCTCCCTCTCGCTCCTCATCTTTAGGCAGTTCTCTGAGCATCAACTCATTAATGATAGATGCTTCGTGCTACGATTTATGGAATCATAGAATAACTGAGTTGGGAGGGGTCGATAAGGCCATCCGGGCTAACCTTCTGCTCAAGACAGGAATCCAAATCAAAATGGATTTGACAGAGGGCTGTCTAATTTTCTCCCGAATCCTGGAGCGCTCACCACCTCCCAAGGGAATTGATTCCATCGTCGTAGTGCTCTAACAGTTAAGACGTTTTTCCTGATATTCAGCCTAAATCTGGTTTCCTGTCGCTTGAGCCCATTATGACATGTCTTGCACTCTGGGGTGATGGGGGACAGATCCCACCCCTCCTCTGTAGGACAATCTTTGAAGTATTTGAAAAGTGGTCTCCTGTCTCCCCTCTGTCTTCTTTTCTCAAGGCAAAATAATGCCCAGTTCGTTCAGCCTTTCCTCCTCGTGTTTAGTTTCCAATCTGCACAGCATCCTTGTTCCCTTCTGAACTCTGATTGCACTTACTCCAGTGCAAATCCCCAGTAGCATTCTGGCTGTTTTTCCATGGGAAGATGTCTCACACCCTCCGCAGAGGGGCAGTTTTGCTACTTTTCAAGCCTCCGATGACCCTGTTTTTACATCAAGGAGGAGCTTTCTGTAAAACCTCCTGGACCCAGTGGGGGGTCTGCTTGCTGGGATCCAGTATGTTTCCTTTGGGTCTCTGAGGCCTGCCCTCCCCTCCTGAAGCGCATCTCCTTAACCACCGCTGCAGGTACAGGCAGCTCACCATTGAGGTTCTACTGGACAGGTAAGGAAGGCCTCCTCCTCCACCACCCCTTGACAGCCAAGCTGCATCTCTTGAGCTGCTTTGTGAAGAGACCTGGTGTCAAGAAAAAGGAGCAGATAAAGTGGATCACGGCAGCCCTAAGTTGTTGAGGCCCAACAGACTAAAGTTGGGGAGTTGTTTGTGCGGTTCCAGGCTGCTTAAAATACTGGGAAAGTAAGGTAGAACCATGGAGCCGTGCTTGTAGAGGATGATGTGATGATGATGTGCAAAGGGGTTCCAAGGTGCTGAACCTCTTTCCTCCCAAGGCCCAAACTGAATTCCAAAGAAGTTTTGGAATTCCTGCCATGTTCCTACGCTGCTCTTGCAGATGGAGCCTCTGTTTCCTACGCTGCTCTTGCCGATGGAGCCTCTGTTTGGGGCTGTAGTATTAGTATTAGTTTTATTTATGTGCCACATTTCTCCCAACCTAAAGTGGCTCACAACATTAAAAATCACACCATTTAAAACCACAAGTCAGTGAGATGTTAAAAGATAAACGATCAATGTTTTTAAATGCAATTAAAAGATTAAAACATGAAAACAGAGAAAAAGATTAAAATTAAAATTAGGTTAACTGTTGGTAGGACTGATCTCAACTACAGGTCCAATGTTAGTCCTGCTGAGATTTGACTGCTTTTTTGGCTTTTATGCCTCAGACTGGTTCTGCGGAGGCTCTATCCCGTGGCCATCAAGATCTGCGAATATCTGCGTCTCTCCGAGTTGCAGGGGATTAGCCGGATCCTGGCTCACTGGGCCTGTTACAAGGTAAGAGTCAACGGCAAGAATTCTTTGCTGGCAAAAGTCTTGAATGCTCCTCCTTTCTGCCCAGGCCTGGAGCCCTGTGCAAGCTCTATTTAGCTTCCATTGCTCATTTTATTTACTTTTTATTTAAAAAGAGGCTAAGCTGCATTTGGTCATGCCGTCAGAATTCTCTGAGAAAGACAGGAATGCTAGAAACAAATTGGAAGCAGTAGGAAAAGAGGAAGACTGAACATGAGATGGATTGACTCTATTAAAGAAGCCAATGCCTTTAGTTTGCAAGACCCAAGCTGGGCTGTGGCATTCCGGCACTATCGCCCAATACAGTAACTTTTCCAATCTGTGCTCATGGTAACACCGTTCACCCTGTCCGAATTTGTGTAAAACAAATTGGACAGCTAAAAGAATATTTGACAGCAACACCACCGGTTTACCAAAAAAAAAAGTCATTTGAAACATGTAGAGTCACAGAATGTTATAGCTGAAAGGGATCCAAGGGTCATCTAGTCCAACCCCACCATTGTAAAAAAAAATCCCAGGTGTTCTTGAACTGCAACTCCCAGAAGCCCTTGGTAGAACAGCTAGGGGCGAAGGCTTCTGGGAGTTGCAGTCCAAGAATGTCCAGGGGGGACCCAAGTTTGAGAACCACTGAGTTAGAGCATCCCGTCCCCATTCTCTGTTTAAAAACCTCCCACCAGAGAGCCTTCCTCACTTTCCAGGAAATCCTTCGTATTGCAGGACAGATCCTGCCATCGGGAAGCCCTTCCCTCCATTTAGTCATCCACGCCTTCTTAGAACTGGAAGCCACAGGCTCACATCCTGTGCTCGGAACCTCTTCCCAGTCCTGGAAACCTAGGGCCACGTCTTCCTCAACCGAGCCAGAGTTTCATCCGAGGGAAGGCCATGAGGGAGAAGGCTCTGTCCCTCTTAGCCACCAGCCTTCCTCGTTTCAGCTGTGGGTACCGATGCAGGGGAAGGACTCTAGAGGCAAGATTGACCTATAGGCAGATCTGGCTGATGAAGGTTATTTGGGTAAACGGATCCTAAAGCCTTCAAGGCTTTAGAAGTCGTCCCCTGGAATCCAAGCCCTCAGCGTCGTGGTGCGACTCAGAGGTCACGTGTTCAGGCAAATAGGCAGGCAGCCCTTCTTTGCACTAACTGAACGTTCTCATGAGAGCGGATGCCACCCGGTGCAGAGTGGCTAAGAAATGGGGGCATGAATTGGGAAGCCCTTACTCAGATTTCAGTTGTGCCAGGGAACCATCAGGTCAGTGGCTGTCTCTCCCCCTTGGCTTTCTTTCTGCCTTACGAAGGTGAGGCTGAGCCGTTGTAACAAAGCAAAGCACAACAAGCACAGTGTGCTGCTTATATACCACCCTTTAGTGCTTAAAACACTCTGGCCGGTTCACAATGTTGCCCTCCTCCCAGCAAGATGGCTACTCAGTTTGCTGACCTTAGAACGATGGATCCTTGACCCAACCCAAACGTTCTTTCAGTATATATATACGTTGTAGAAGGCCAAGCTGCTCGGGAGAGAGAGACTTTGTTTTTGTTAAGCCGTGTCCGACTCTTCGTGACCCCATGGACCGGAGCACGCCAGCCCCTCCTGTCTTCCTCGGCCTCCTGGAGTTGGGTCAAATTCATATTGGTTGCTTCGGTGACACTGTCCAATCATCCCGTCCTCTGTCATCCCCTTCTCCTCTTGCCTTCACACTTTCCCAACATCAGGGTCTTTTCCAAGGAATCTTCTCTTCCCATGAGATGGCCAAAGTATTGGAGCCTCGGCTTCAGGATCTGTCCTTCCAGTGAGCACTCCAGGTTGATTTCCTTCACAATGGATAGGTTTGTTCTCCTTGCAGTCCAGGGGACTCTCAAGAGCCTCCTCCAGCACCACAATTCAAAGGCATCAATTCTTCGGTGGTCTGCTTTCTTTATGGTCCAGCTCTCACTTCCATACATCGCTACTGGAAAAACCATAGCTTTGACTATCCAGACCTTTG